TTCCCTTTCCCTTTTTACTGACAGACTTCAATTGCTGGTCACTGTTCGGGTCTGACAGAAAAAAAGAAGATACATCAATCCCTCATTCTCACAACATCTACACGTATTTAAAGCACAGCAGAGACAAAAATTTCTTTTTAGGTATATTTGTCATAATGGTCCCAGTCTTTACTTTAAAAGTTTAAAACACAACACACACAACCAAATTGGGGATTTCTTCAACCCAGACAATTAAAAAATGGTCAGTGGTGTGCCATTCTTTATGCTTTTCTTTTTTCCACAGCACCAAAAAGGAATTAAATTTGATACTAAGATACATAAAATATGAAGGCTAAAAGCAGGTGTTAGGTAAACCTTGAATGTCTGCTTGGTAAGGTTGGTGAAATAATATTCTCATGAAAGAGACGTGTCAACAGCTGCACGCTCAATCATCTTCCTGTGACCCTAAGTTAGTAAGTTGAAATACTCCATTAATCTGTGCTTTTGCAGCCACATAAAGTGTATACCGTGTAAGCTGTGCTTTTCAGTTGAAAAGAGAATAAAACCATGCAGATGCAACGATCAGTTGTTATTACAGCGGTAATAGAAATGTGGGTGCATCGCTGTATTAGCAGAGTAAGCTGTTACTTATGAGACAGCAATTTAAATAAAAGTTACCTCATCTCAAAAATCAACATTAACTAGGTCTAAAGAAATAAAAAAACTACCAAGTACCAGATTTTTTATTATTATTACTTTTCTCTTTGAAATCTTTTAATATTTCTGCCTACTGTAGCCAGCTATTTGTGTATAAAGCTACTTTTGGTACTGCCAATGTTTTTGGAATGAAACAAACATGCTTTGTTTGCAAGTTTTTACACCCAGATGCCAAATTCCCACTCTCGCCTAGGAGACTGTGCCAGGAAATCTTTCTCTTAAGAATTCATTGTCCAGAGAAGGACTCATCGTCACTTCTTTACTGAAAAGCCAAACCTCCCACCTAGGTAACTGAATCTAAATTTATATATGTAATTACATATTAGATAACCTATTTTTAAAGCTTTTTCTTCTCGTTTTTAAATAAATGGTACTTTACCTAGGCTGTTACCATCATCAGACACATCCATAAATACACCTCCCTCTTCATCCATATCCTCTCCAAAGTCTTCCTCCATACTTCCTAAGGAGACTTCCTCATCATCCAGATCACTGAATTCATCTGCATCATCAGAATCCTCCCAGTCAGCACTGGATTCCTTGCTTCTTTGGCCTTTCTTACCGTCTTTGGTCTTCTTTTTTATATTACTAAAAAAATATGTAACAAGCTTAGCACTTCATCTGGCAAAATGCTGTTTGCATCCAGGTAACAGCTATCTATCGGCAAACACGGCGTTAGAAAAGTTCAACATCATTGCCGAGTACTGTAAACGTAGGCTGAGACCTAAGAAACATGTATTGTGCACTCAGGTATGTTTTCAACATCAGCATATGGAACTGCATTATAAAAGTCAACCATTTCAAGAAGTTCTGGAGAGAATCCTATTCTGAAATGAACAGAAATGTCAGCTTCAGTATTTTATCTCCTACATGCCTTTGCTCCTTTTCAGGAAGTCTTTCCTGTAAAACACACACACTGCTGGTATCCCTAGCAACTCTACTAAATGAAGAAATAAGACTTTTTTTTTTTCTTTCTTAAGAAAGGAAACATGGTTCTTCATGTACTAGATAGTTACTTGGTTTTTGTTTCCTCTCTGCTATTTTTTAATCACACCAGTCTGGATCACAAAAATGTTCAGGTTTCACTAGAAGTTTAGGCTTTAATTCTCCTTTCACCTCAAGGAAAAAAGCTTCTGTGCCAATTCAAAAGCTGTATTACAGACACTTTAAGTAAAAAAGAGGCTACTTAATCATTCACAGTTGGACTTGATGATCTTAAAGGTCTTTTCCAACCTAAATGATTTTATGATTAAGAAAGTGCTGACTTCCTGAGAACTGAGCTCTGTGATTCTGGATTCCACAAAGCCTATTTACTGTGTTAGGTCCAGTTACAACCAGTCCTCACAGCAGCAGTACCACAATGCCTCATTCTGCTTGCTTTTGCACTTGATAATTCTCAAACAAAAACCTGCAACAATGAAACCCAAGATTTTTACCTTGCTTACTGGGTCATGGCATTGTATAAATAAAATACTACAGGTCTCACGTGTCAAGGCAGCAGACTGTAGGCACCATAGGATCACGATGCTCCATCATGGGACATGCCGAAAAGCAGCATTACCCAGCATTCAACTGCTGTTGCCTTTTTTGCATGGTGATATTCTGAGTCTTTTTGAAAAAGGTCTATCCAATTTTGCAGAGTAAAACCCTGTACAGGTATTACAACAATAGATGAAAGAACGAATTTAAAGTCTTACCCAGCAAAATCAAGGTCATCCTGGCCAACATCAATGGCATTATCAGCAGCTTCAAATTTATCTAGGGGGAAAAAAATTGTTTATTACTACAAATCAAAGTCAAACAAAGAAATACAAAGTCATTGCAAAATATGTTATTTTTAGGTATCACTTTCCAGAATAGTTTATATGATCTGTAACAGTAAAAAAGGGCCCTGATACCAAAGGGCTCGTACTCCTATTAGAAAAATGCTCCAGAAAACAGTTACCTAAGGCTAACTGGACTTTTTCTGGAAAAATATTTTTCTTTGAAAAGTAATGAAAATTTTGTTTTCTCCAGGACGTAATTTCTGGCCAGAACTAGACGATGTGGGAAGCAGACAGACACAAATGGACACACAATTGCCCAGCAATTCAGACTTATTTGGCAGGTGGGACATAATAAGTCTCATACACTTGGTCCAAAGAACAAAGACTCAATTAAGACACCCTGAGCAAGTGTCCTGCCAGCTAATCGGTATGTTAATTTTCAGATTAGAAGTATTCACTATAATTTTTGACAGAAAAGCATGTACACTAGAGGATGAAAGCTCCTATAATCAGATTCACTTAGGAACAAATTGCTATATAAAATAGCAGGTAAAAAACAAAATCTGAAAAATCACAACTGTTCTGCTTAATTTAAGCTTCTGAATTTACACAGCAAATTCTCAGAGGCAGTCAACTTATTACAGATACTAACAATAAAATGACAAACACAATTAGTAACGGATTCTTGTCATAACTAAGACCATACTAATTGAGTCACTAAGGAAGAACCCTGCTATAGGAGTTCAGAATTCTCTAAAAATATTGTACAAAACAGTTATGGGGGTTAACTGGATTATTTTTTTTTTCCAAATACATACATTACTCTGTAAGTAAAATATAAGATCATAAAATAATGGACATTTTATGGTACCCTAACAAATTTAGATTCTGGAACAAATCATACACTAATTCCAAAGCAAACAAAGTATATGCTACAGGAAGAACTAAGACTACTGCAGAAGTTTGCCAAGGACCTAACTGAACAAGTAACCTCATGAAAGGTGTTAGGAACGATGAGAGAATCTGTACAGAAGATTGAAAAAGGCCAAGCAGTAAAGACAGAATAGAAGCAAATGTTACAGACTGTCAGAAAAAGTTATTTAACTCTCAGACTACATTAGGAAAAGAAGCAAAAGGCATGAACTGCCACTGATGAGCTTGTATTCAAAATGAGACCATTTCCAAGCATTCAAACAAGCTGACTACTGGAGCAGTGAGAGCAAGACCTCTTCTACAAGATGGCCATCCAGTTGGCCGAGGCGGTGGACAGTATGAACTGTTGGCTGTAGTAGCATAGAATGGGACGTGGAAAGCCAGTTTTCTTCCACTTCCATATTCCTGTGTCTGGCTCTTTTATACAATACAAACCATAAAAAGGATAAATTAATAATTTGCAAAAGCAGGAAATACTGGGATAGTTATTGCAAGGAAAAACAGAACCTTACCCAATGCTCTTTCAAATTCATCATCATCTACATCTTCTACACTTTCTTCATCATCCTGCCGCTTTTGTTTCTCTCTCCTCTTATCAAACTTTGAATAAAATCTGAAATAATATAGTGCTCTCAGGCAATTACAAATGATGATCTTTATGACAAGGTTTTTTTTAAAAGAACAAGCTGCAGATTGTTTCATGTGTACCTTGCCAGTTGAAAATTGTAAGTAATGGTTTCAAACATGTCTCAAATCAGAGATTTATACTTTCTTTGTTTTTCAAAGACTAAGTCACTTCTGTAAGATTTAAAACAAAGAAATTTCAGGGCCAAAAGTGCCAGAAATTATTTTGAACATAGTGAATTTATAAAACAGCACAAGAAAGATGTGAAAATCTGCCTTATACTGATAAGGAAGAAAGGATCAAATTCAACTTGAATCTAATTGGGGGGGGGCGGGGGGAATATATAAAAGAGATTCACCCATTAAGTTCTGTTAAATTTTCCCCTGTAGCCCTCTTCTCTTGTGTGCTTAGCTTTACCTTCTGTCAGCCATCTTAAACCACTTTCTTTCCTTCATTTCATGTTGAAGAACCACCAAACACAGAAGGCAATTTTGATCATATACAAGAGCAAAAGAGTGCAGTGCTTCATGTGGAAGACTAAATGTGTGATCTCAAGTTTCAGTCATCTTCAATGTAACAATATTGTTAACTTTTCAGACAGGGGCATGTTTTTAAGCTGCTTTTCCTTAATCTCAAAATTAATACTACTATTTTACTTATTTTTTATTATTATTGTATTCCTCAATATTATAATTAGTAAGTTCCATTAACCTGATACTTCAAAAATTTTTAAAAGCCCCTGCAGCAACAAATATATTAAACAAACAAACAAAAAACAAACACAAAGTGAATTAAAGAAAATGAATGAAGTTAATTCAAACACTGATTTCCTAAGGGGACACTCACAGGTAACCAGTATTTTGATCTAATAAGAACAAATCTTTGCCAAATGTGTATCACTTCAATTTTAGTGTTACAGCTGCATTTTTATATCATAATCTGAAAGGAAAGCTAACTAAACAGCAAGAACTATGAATACTAAAAAAATAAATACACAGAAACCTAGCTCCTCTGACCTTTTTTGCATTGTTCCACTCTAATAAGCTTTGATGCTAATAACATAAACCAGGTACATTCCATTTTTTTAAAATATACTTCTAATGCATGAGAATTACAACCCACAAGACATTCCTCATTACCCATTGTTTAAGGCTTCTTTATTACAATAACAACTTACTTAATTTTAGACTACAAGCACTGATTGCCTTTATTCGTAAGTGGT